ATCCCCCCCCCCCCCCAACACGCGCGCACATCCAGATGTTGGCCTTCTACGCTCCCTTCATACATTTTCTATATAATATTCACATATAACACCACATACACCGCACATAGCAGTAAGAGGTCTGGATAAGACCCATATAATAAGTCCTCACTTTTATATTTAATTGTCTCAGCATAACAATCAATTAGAAAAGTGTCTCCAATGCACCCCCCTCCCCCCTTAAGCGGTATTTTTCATCACAGGGGGTTGTTTTTTGCATGCGATTAAACGCGCGAAAATATATGTGCGTGCTGCGCGAAATTTGAAATAAAGTAAAAACGCTACAATGTTTCTTTTGACCCAGGATACCTCTTAGACTTGTTGATTTAATACTTATGTCGCCTTGGAAACTGATACTGTGTGCGAGAAACGGTAAAACTCCAATGTTTTGAAAATATTCTAGACCATGAATTTATTACTTTTGACCTTCGGCAAGTTCAACTGCGGACATCCTGTGTTTCTCTTCGGTCTGGTGGCAAATACACACACTGTATGGTAGTTTGACATGGTTTTAGTGCAAAGTGAGGTTTATGTCAAATTTCAGTGTTACGTTGAAGAGACAAGGGGGTTTTAAGTTGGGGTTTAGAAACTGCCTGAATGGATTAAAAAACAGCAAACATGAGGCGATTCAATCAGTGCTGTTTTTGTTAATTTGTTGTTGTCGTTTTGTTGCGTCAGTGACAACGAAGCTGCTTCCACATTTTCCGCATGCTGAAGGTCCGAAGGACGTGCGCTACATGTGCACCAAATTCTGTGCTATTCCGAGCAAAGCATTTTAATTTTTTATTATTATTATATTTATATATTATTATTATATTATGACTATGTTGTATTTTCACATAAAGCTTGCCAGTACAGTACAGAAGATCTGCAGTATCAGAAATCTGACAGGTTCTGTGTCGTTCGATTTTAGGTGGTTATATTACTTGTCGGACAAGCAGTTTTATCATGTCTGTTTTCACAAATTAACAGCAGTTTATAATTCGTTCAAATAATGAAAATGCCATGGATTTATATAACTTTATAAGACTTTTCTGAGGTCAGCAAAACAACAAAATGCTGACCTCAGCCAAAGTCAGCAATTGAATAATATGTTAAGATCATGTTTTATATGGAGTGCTGAAGAACAACTAACATTTAAATTGTCTTTTCTGTCTTAATTAGTAACATTGAAAAATGCAGACAATAAAGCTGAAGTTTGTAAAGCACCAGCCTGAAGTCCAAACAAAGAGCAGGTAAGGAGTCTTCTTGAAAAAATGTACATCTTTTTGTTTGTTTTTCATTGCTTTTTCAAGTTGAATTGTTGTCTTTTTTTCTGCTGAGCAAATAAATAAATAAAGAAAGAAATGAAATGAAATAAATAAATAAAAAAATGAAAGAAGTAAAAACTCCAAGCACTCAAGTAGCAGGTAAAAGCTATGTTATAGTAATTAATATAATATAAAGAATCAATCTGTATGCTGTTTTAATGTGCATGCTTTTTTAGTGAACCAGCTAAAGAAAAAGAAATCAATCCTATAAAAAAACAACTGCTGAGTCTGTGGAAATCGTTGAAATATCGGGTTGTGCCAAATAATGTCCAGGATCAAGTGGATAATAAACTGGGGTCAAAAGATCATGGCCAATCTTGGAACCACCAGGACCAGGTGTTTAATAAACTAGAATCCAGGAACCACCAGGGCCAGGTGTTTAATAAACTGGAATCCAGGAACCACCAGGGCCAGGTGTTTAATAAACTGGAATCAAGGAACCACCAGGGCCAGGCATTTCACAGCTGTGAGACTACATGTTGTAGTGACAAGGGACAGGTGTTTAATAAACATAAGATGTCATGTTGTACTTGGAGTGACAAGGACCAGGTAGTTAGTAAACATGAGACTGCATGTTGTAATGACAAGGGTCAGCCAGGGACTCGTTTCAAAAGACATCACAGTCCAGTGGTCCATAAAGTAGTTCTGCTGACACAGCCAGGTGGGGTGAAACTGAAGCAGGGTAAAGAAATTGTTACTGTATTATTTTATGAAGTTTGTACTTGTAAAGATGTTTGCCTTGTTGTACTAATTCGATTTTTAAACCAACTACATGTATTTTGTTCTAGATCAGATCACTATTCAAAGTAAATATGTGTTGGAACATTGGTGTTTATTTTTACATTTTGTATGGTGTTAGCCTAATTGGTTTTGTATATTCACAATATTTATTTCCAGTGAAATCCAAATTTACATGACAAAACAAATTTAATAAAGATGTCATATTAAAGTAAAGTAACATAAACTATTATTTGAAAATTTTAGAATTCAATCCAGCACCAACAAAGCCTAAGCAGCCACCAATAATCCAAACCTTAGTGAAGCCATTGCTGCACACCACAAAGACTAAGCAAACACTGACCACTGCACAAATTGAGAAGGTACCAATACAGCTCAGAAATCAAAATAATGAACAAATCACCAAGAAACAGCTCCAGAAACCAGAACCACCAGAGAGACAAGAGTACAAGTCTGAACAAAAAGAGCCAGCAGTTTCTGACACAGAGCCTTATGGCCAGTCCAGGTCTCCAGGCATTGACCAGTCCAGGTCTCCAAGTATTGGCCAGTCCAGGTCTCCAGGCATTGGCCAGTCCAGGTCTCCAGGCATTGGCCAGTCAGTCGCTGGTGGGGATGGTATGGAAGACTTAAAACCTGTGCTGTCCTTGAGAATACAGACTGTGGTCTCAGAATCAGGGTCATACATCAGGGGGACTTGGAGTCGAGGGACACCTAACAAGAAACATCAGGTGGTGGTAAGTTGAAGATTATCTTTAAATTGTAATAAGGTATCTTTTATTTGAATGCCCATACATTATAACCAAAGGCTCCTAAAAGGAGGGACATTGAGTTTGTTGATAATTCGGTTATTTTTCTTTTCAACACACAGCCACACTTAAAATAATATGTGAATCCAATATATACATATCTTGGGGGTTTTTTTTTTGCCCCAAATTAAATTTGCTCATCAAAGGTTCTGAGCAGACTTATGCACTGATTTTGGTGAGCTCTTCAACGCACACTAAAATCAGCCTAATTGGGGCATAAGTTAGTTCAACACATGTGCCACATTTCATGGGCACATTTAGGACAAAAAAAGCCAAGATATGTATTTACTTGGTTCACATATCATTTCAAGTGTACATTGTGTGAAAGAGATAAAATGTTAGGGTTATCAATAATAAACTCTACATACTTCCCTCTTGAGAGTTCAACCCCCTTGATAATGTACTCCTCTAGCTTGTATATAAATGATTCAGAAGTGGTAAGAATTGGTAAGGAGGATTGGGTGACATCATATTAATATAACTGCAAGCTTGTGTCAATCTGCTATCTTTTTCTCCTGGCAGATATGTCAGCAGAAGTTCAGTCCTGGCCAGTTTACTCCTCTCAAACTGCCAGACAACTGGGAAGAGGAAACACAGAAAGATGCTCAGAAATCAGAGGTTCAGTCAATTTTTATTTGTTTTTTTTTTCAACAGAAATGCAACACCATATAGATTTTATTCATAAATGAAAATAAACTTCACAATGTGTAATTTGCTATTATTTAAAATTGCATGTTCTTTCAGTGACATTTTTATATAAGTTTGTTTTAACATTTGTAGAGAGCTTAAATGTATTATATAATCAACACAGACTGAATTTCTGTGATAATAATAATAATAATAATAATAATAATAATAATAATAATAATAATAATAAAAATAATTATTATTATTTTTATTATTAAACAGTGTTTAACAAATTACTATATGTAAATTTATATAATGTCCAGGACCCAGAAGAAGAAAGTTTGCTTTGTCATGAAACTATTGATACCATACATGTTGAAGATAAAGATCATGAAACTATGGATGCCATACATCTTGAAGTTAAAGATCATGGGTAACTAAATGAGTTTTTAATTTGTAACAATTTTTTTAATATGGTCGAATTTTTCATTTCTAATTTAATTTATGTATACTGTGTGTGTGTGTGTGTGTGTGTGTATGTGTGTGTGTGTGTGTGTAAATAAGTAATTAGATTATAAAATTGTGTAACATCTTATTGATTATATAAATTGAGTACTTCTCGTAACTAGGGATTTATAATATAAAGAAGTATAACAGTTGAAAATAACTCATTTGAAGCTGGTTTACTCTATTTCAGCTTGTGAGTATGATTTTTTTTGTCATTAGAACCTAGTTATTTGTGGTGACAATTGAAGTTAACATTTACACTTCTTGTTTGTTTTCAGTTTCCCTGACCCAATTTCTGAGGAGATATCAGGGGACAACAACAAGCACCTTTGTTCAAGTCAGATGTAGGTAGTCGTTTATTCATAAAATTCTTACATCTTTTGAAGCTACATTGTAATTAGTTGTAAAATTATGATAATGTGAAAAGTTGATGAAAATTTTTTCTCTTCTCCAGGTTATTTATACATAATAATATTTAGAATATTTTATATCATTTAATGCGAATTATCTGAGAAGTTCTGTGGATTTGGTGTAGAGCAGGGCCAGGGATGAAGGCAGGGTAGTCGTGTGGCAAAGAATAAAAGCTATCCACAGATTTTTTATGAGTGTTTTCTCAAGCTTTTGTATAATATGAATCAGTTCTGTCTTTTGAACAACAGAGTGTTTCCACCATGAATTGCATAACAGTTAGACACTTAGGCAGTTTTTTTTTAATAACCTGTTTCTCAAGCTCCGCCGACCTCAAAATGGCCAAAATAGAAAAAAAATAAAATTGAAACCAAAAATATTTTTCTTTTTTCCCCGACTTCCGACTGATCGTACTGTTCGATCGTAAACACGAAACCTAACAAGTTTCACGGGACTCCCGCGTCACATGACTGCCTACAAGTTCAAAACGAAGGGTATTTAAGCCAAAGTAAACGATTGGTTCAATTCCTCCAGCTTCCGGTTTTTAAGCCAATCAATGCTTCGCTGATATTTTACACTGCATGTGTCAAATTAATGCAACATGGCGGGAGACACATACTGGAGTAGCTGTCTCTACTAAGGCAGGAAATTGACCACTGTTGTGTGGCTCAGTGTTATAGTGAAGGAAGAACCAAAGATATTATGCAAAAAGGTCTGTCCAGCCAGTTTTACAGACGTTTTAGGCCATTTTATTGACTGCTTTTTGTCAGAAATGAAAATATCAACTGCAACACTTTTCACGTGTGGAAGGTTTCAACAGGGAGCAAAAATAGGTTAAGAACTGAATGTAAGAATGCCGGTCACTACGGTGGTAGATATTGACATTAAGTGCATTCAGATAACAGTTGGCAGTGAGCACCAAAAGATGCAGGCTCAACTTAACTCTCTGAGAACATCCAAATACAGAGCGCATGCAGCACTCGCGTAGGCCTACTTCTGAAAGTCTCCAGAAATGATGTGAGTATTTTTTCCGTTTTATCAGTCTAGATCGAGTGTCAAAGTTTTTAAAGGTGAATGTATTTCAGGCATTGATATGTTGGTAAATAAATGTCCTTTTTTGCACTTTCACAAAAACGTATGTTAAATGCTAATTGCTCGCTCACAACAGCAGATGTTTCTATACTGAAGCAACATGTCTTTGACATTTTTTTTTATTAACTTAAGGCAGGTAATAGCTGTAAACTATCAAGTGCTTTGGATAATGAGCCTGTCAACATGAATTCATAGTTCAATTAAGTTTTCCACCAAGTTTTTAAGGCGAATATAGATAAGTTTAACCAGGCCTGTAGCCAGCAATTTCAAAAGGGGGTTCTTTTTCTGAAAAAGTGAACCATTTACCATAAAACCTTCATGCACCTAGATCGATTTTGATCCAGAGCAGACCTTTTCCTGATAAAAAGGGTTGATCATTCAATAATATTAAATAAGTTAAGTTGTTGCTGCCATTTAGATTTAATTAAAATTAAGACCACAGTTCCATAACAGGCCATATTATCCTTGCTGGTTTTTGTATTTTCAACAATCTGGCTAAGCAATTGTTTGCTGTCTTTTGAATTATACAATTCCTATGCAACTACCCTGTAAGAGAAGTCACACATCCAACTCGGGTAACTTATCTGAAATATTTGTTTTTAGTGAATCCCCATTAATGCAAGGCAGGCAATGTATAATTCCATCTCGCAAGTAGTGGAAGACTTCAATCTTTGTCTTCAGGCTGGACAGGCCAAAAATCTTGGAAAACGCATAGCAGAGACTCTGACAGAGAAGCTATGGTATAGAAGCCCAAATGCAGAGAGAGAGACTGGCTAGTTTAGTGCAGCTGCCATAGTGACCATTTAAGGAAGGGCATTTAACAAGATGATTCTCAAACTTATTGAAAGATTCAAAGGTCTTAAATATAGCCTGATTGGAAGCAATGCTGTTTTTGTGAAATGGTCATTTTTCATATACATGTATTGGTGTTTTCAGTGTGGGACTTGGAACTCACATGGGCATGAAGCCATATTGTTTCTGGATGGCCATGTTACATGAAGTAGATAATTTAAATTTGATGATTTTCCACTTAATCGTTAAATCATACATAATATTGCATCAAGGTTGACAAAAAACTGTTTTGTGCACTGCCATCATGAATGCATAGAAAGACAAACTGTGTTTTTTGTTTTGTAATTTACAAGAATGATTCATTGAATTGACATTCATTTAGACAAATAAAACATTGAAAAGGAATTGCTGTTTTTATCCAAAAATTGCTATACTGTGTTAAAACCAGTATTTACCATTGTCTAACGTAGTTTTGAAAATGAGTGACCAAAAAGTCATTATTTTGAAAAATATTTTTTATTTTTTTCCCCCCTCCGACCTCTGACAAAAATAAAAATCGTTCGAGAAACAGGTAATTAAAAAAAACTGCCTTATAATACAAAAAAAGCAAAAAAAAAAGTTAGTTACCATGAACACAAGGGTACTAGTAGTGATGTACAATCAGACAGGATCGATCCATCTCCAAGGGGTTTCTCGATAAATTGCTTAGGCAGCTTAGATGTCAGGCATGCCTAGTGAACCAGCTAAACAATAATTTATTACCCCCCTAGCAGCAGCAGTAGGCATGACAGTAATCTAAGCTGCTTAAGTTTATTGCAATTTAGCGAGAATCCCCTCGGAGACAGATCAATCCACAGTTAGTACGATAGGGTCTTGGAATGGTCCTTAATATCGACAACATCAGTGGACTGAGGTTAAAGTAAACTGTAGCCCTCTAATTGGTCAGTTATATTATTCCCTTGTGTTTTATTTTCATATTTTGCAACTTTGCATCATGCCACTTAGTTTGGAAGATTGTGCCATATGATGTAACAGTTGGATAGGTTGCAACATGTTTTGTGTAACAATACAGTAGGGTAGGGATGTGGATTGTTGAAATGATGTTTTGATATAATGTCAGGGAGGCAGATGTGACTAAGATCTTTACTTATTTAAAAACTCAAAGTTGTCATTCTGTATTATTTGGTGGACAATCAGTAAATAAGTATTGGTGCTTAGTGGAGGATTCTTTTCCTCTTATTGGGCACCATTCTTCATAGGTTTGTGAGGGACTGTACACCTTTTGTTTAATATATGAAAAAATACACATTGTGTACTGTGAGCCCTGAACCATATTTGGATTAAAAAGACACATTTGGGTTTGTCTTGCTAGCAGAATTTTTATGGGAATTCTATATATTATAATTACTTATTTCAGCCAAAGTGATGATACACCACCAACCAAGAGAAAGACCAAGGAGGCAGTTTTGAGTGATGACACAAAGTGTAGAAGGAAGTCAGTCTATTTCTGTACTAGGTTTATGATTTTGATGGTCTCTTTCAGAACTGCATAACATTTTCTTTGCAATCTATTTCCATTTTTATTTGTCAGTAATATGTCTCAAAAATACATTAACTAGAACAATTACTTTGTACTGCAATGCAAAAAAGCCCCCCCCAAAAAAAAAAGAAAAAGAAATTTTATATATTATAATTATTTATTTCAGCAGAAGTGATGAAACACCACCATCAACCAAGAGAAAGACCAAGGAGTCAGTTTTGAGTGACAACACAAAGTGTAGAAGGAAGTCAAAAGGGTAGATTGAACTATTTGACCTTCTAGATTGACCTTGAAATATTAGTTTATAATTTTCAATGCATTAATTGTCAATATCGCAGAAACCCACATAGATTTTTACACTCCACACTGTCATCTTCAGTTATATTAAATAAAACTGTTTTATTAATTTTTATCCATAGGCAATCTGCATTGAGGTTTTTTTTTTTCATCTTTAGGATGCATCCAAGGCGTAAGAAGAACAGTTCCAAGACAGTGGCTAAGGATGCCACTGAACAGAACTCGGCTAGTTCACAGATAACATGCACCAAAGTGGTTGAGTAAGCATTATCATAGATTTCATGCAGCACTTTTGTGACAGGTGGGCTGTATCCTCACCAGGGAGGCAACTGTGTTAACACTCTGTATCAGGGACATAAATGACCAGGCGCCCAATGTAAACTGCACATTATGATACAAAGCTTTTCTTTACTTTTTAAAATTTGATTTTAAAAATTAATTAATGCCGTTTTTATAGTTATGTTTCTTACTAGTCATATTGTCATATGAAAACCCTGCTGTGTTGACCAATTAGAAAACAAGGGCACATATTACCCATCAGTCAGATGGCAACTTATATTCTAGAACAGTTCCTTTATAGTGTAGTGGACAAAAGCAAAAAAAAAAGAAATTTTATATATTATCATTATTTATTTTAGTGGAAGTGATGATACACCACCAACAACCAAGAGAAAGACCAAGGAGGCAGTTTTGAGTGAAGACACAAAGTGTAGAAGGAAGTCAAAAGGGTAGGTTGAACCATTTGATCTTATAGATTGACTTTTAAATATTAGCTTATAGTTTTCAGTTCATTAATTCTCAAATATATAGTTGAAACCCACAGAGTTTTACACTCAACACTTATCTTCAGTTATATTAGATATAATTATTGTGTAATTAATTTTTATCCATTGGCAATTTGCATTGATGTTTTTTCATCTTTAGGATGCATCCGAGACGTAAGAAGAAAAGATCCAAGACAGTGGCTAAGGATGCCACTGAACAGAACTCAGCTAGTTCACAGATACCACACATCAAATTGGTTGAGTGAGTATTATCATAGCTTTCAGGCAGCACTACATACGGCAGAGAGTCAAGAGTGTCAACACTGTCTGTATCAGGGCCATCAATGAGCAGGCATCCAATGTAAACTGTTCTGAAATGATACAAGAACTTTTCTTTACTATGTAAAATGTGAATTTACAAATTAATTAATGTTGTGCAGTTATCAGACATGCTGAAAATTTTTCAGAATGGCTGGACATTTGGACCGGCAGTAATGAAAAATTTGCCGGATCGAATGAATATTTGTCGGACCTAAAATCACCCTACTCGTTTGAGACAGATACTACCAGTACGATCAGGTAGCTTACTTTGTTTGTGAATGTGATAGGTTTGAAATGGAAGGGAAAAAACGCTTTGGGATTTATATAATTTTATTAGTGAAGTATGTCGAATGATGACTGTAAATTCAAATTTGCGGTTCTTAAAACTCTTGTTGGCTTTGGACCGACCAAGTCCAATTTTCTACCGGTTCCGACAAATTTTCCCGGTCATGACCGATCGGACCAACAGCTTCAGCATGTCTGAGTAATGTTTCTTACTAGTCAGATTGTCATATGAAAACCCTGCTGTGTTGACCAATTAGAAAAAAGGACACATATTACCCATCAGTCAACAAAGTCAGATGGCAGCTTAAGTGATGTTGCAATATTTGATGTTATTATATAGGATATTGACATGCATGTTTTTTATAACACAATAATAAAACTATAATTGGCTTTGGCTTTTGCTCAGAGTGTAAAGTTTTGTAGATCTTAGCCAAATTTTAATGTGGAATTTAGACTAATTCTTTTTTATATAAATGGAATTATAAATTGCAGGTCTAACCATAAGCAACCTAACCAACAGTCTAAGTGTAGCTCGGCATCAACTTTAGCCCCTGGTCTGCAACCTCCTCAGTCTGCTCCTGACTCCACAGTGAACTGCCAGGACTTTGACGGGTAACTAGGACATATGTCAGACCAATATTATTCAGCACCTTTTAACTTTGGCTACAGAATAATACACAGAATACTAACAAATATCAGACTTTCAAAGTAGGAAGTAAATTTTCTCTCAGAATCGATGTGAAATTGAAGGTAAAACTTTTTTAAGTTCATGCTAATTACTAGCAGTTGATTTCTGTACTAGGTGAATGATTTTGACGGTTTCAGAACTGCATAACATTTTCTGCCAAATCTATTTCCATTTTTATATGTTAGTAATTAATATAAAGCACATTTCCTTTATTGGTTATAGCTACTTGAAGTTTTACAAGGAGGCAGCCAGAGAATTAGATGTCAATCCAGACTGCCTGTCTAGCACTATTGCGGACATGTGGCAGAAACTCCCTGAGGATTTTCGTGAAACTATGGTAACCATGGCAATGGTGGAGAACTCCACTGATGACTCCCAGATTAGTGATCTCAGTGATGACTTGAAAGAAGTCACAAGTTCTCTTTTCACTGAACAAGGTTCAGATTATAATATTTTATTTTAACTGACTTCATTTATGTTTGCTCCAACTAAAACCATTTATTTTTCCTTTTTAGTGTCAAGACTTTAAAAACTTAGATTTAGTGTTAGTGCCTAGTAGTAAATGTTTGTGTTCCATGTGTTTTATTGGTGATGCATATGTAATTTTTTTTCTGCAAAATTCTCCTGAGGTAACCCATATTTTCTCTCTGATTTTAAAACCAACTTTAGATCCTTCTTTCTTGACACTCTCCATAACTCTTTCACAAACTGGGAAAGTTATGCCAATGTTTTTTCAAATTTTGCCATTCCTTTGAGCTCAATTCTTGCACTGACTTCCCAGGTTGCACAGGAGTAAAAAAAGTGTCTAGTTGATTGATGAGTGACGGAAATTTGTTAGGAGGTGATAATTAAATCAGATTATTTTTGGCAACACTAATTCATGACATTAGTCTGTTCAAAATGATCAAGATATTATTTATCCTCAAATAAGTTCAGCAAGCCTGTAATTAACATAAGAATTGGAAATACTGGAAACACTTATTATTTCAATTTTTTGGGGTTGCAGAAAATATGATGACATATCCCATGGAAGTCATAGACGACTTTCTTGAGAAACAAGAGGAAGCATTGGAGGTCAAGGATTCTCAAGAATCGAAAGGAAAAGTCTCCAGTCTAGACTCCAGCAGTGACTCTCCTGGGGACTGGAACATTCTGAGTCAGGAGGATGAAAGCTGCACACTGAACTTTGGTCAAGACTTTGGCATGGATTTTAGTGAGGAATGCTTCTATGACATGATGGGGAGCATGTCTTCTTCACAGCTGGTAAGTGAGCAAAACACTTCCTCAGGCTTGTTAGAATTTCAAAGGGCTCTGCACGCCTTCATAATAGGACTTCCAATTTCCAAAGTTTCTATTACCTCAGTTATGGTCTAGGAGTGGAGGAGATAGTGGACATAACAAATGCATGGACAGCTGGGTGCATAGACAGACACACAAAAGTGTGGGGATAAATATTGAAAATGTAATAGTACAGAAATGTTTTATCAATGAACTGTTGTCTTAAATTATTTGAGTCTATAAAAACTGTAAATAGATAAAAGTGGTGGCACAATAGTGTGAATTGATAGTGATGGTTGGTCAGAAAACCAAAAGTGCTTGGTGACTGTGGAAAACATTTACTTCATTTAGACAGACCATACCTGCTGCTGAGTTTTTTCTTCTTTTTTTATGATTTTCGCCATATATCTTTCCTACATGTTATTGAATGTTTCTTTGAACTTATCATTTTTTATAAAAGTATTTTTAATACATGTTTAAAACTCTTTCAACTTCCATCTTGCCCAGATGTCATATTGGAATCTGTTTATTTAAGTTGGGTCATTTAATGTATGTACATTGTATATGTGCCACATTTGATGTGTATAGTTAATTGGTTTTCTTTGTTTAATTTTCACAGAGTTTGATTCCTGAATGTAATGAGTTGGCTGTGGGTCCTGGTGAACAGCTCTTGAACTCTCCTACACACTTGGAAGAGCTGCCTGAGGTAGATGTTTCTTTTTAAAACTTGTTTGTTTCTAAGGGCTCATTCCCAGTGAAACTATCAGTCTACATAGATTGCTCCAGCTTTGAGGGGACTCTTGCTGAATGCAATCATATTAAGAGATTAATTTTTGTGATCTACATAGACTGATAGTTTTTATTGGGAATGAGCCCTAAGTGATTTTTTCTATATTAAGATATCAGACATATTTTTGGAACAGTATTTAGAAGACCAGAAATCTGATATCAATCTCTTAAACTTTAAAAGCCTTATGAACTGTTGATTATTGGAGATTGTTTCATACAGAATATTCTTCTTCATTAGGTGCCTGAAGATTGGTCTGGAATCTTTGATTTCCCTGATGATCCACTGTTGTTCTAAACACCTTTTCAGCAGCCTGGACTCTTTTGTTGCATTGAAACTTGGCTCATAAGCAGCTTTTGTCCTTTAAAAATTAAGTGCAATTAGGTCAGCTGATGGAAAGAGTTAGAAGAGAAGGAGTTTAAATATTTATAGGGTGAAATGGCAGTTTTACTGGTTTGTATATTTTGATGTAATTTATCTTTTAAATATATTATTTAAAAATTAGATGGCATAAGATCATTTTGTTTGTCTAGATACCAGCAACTTGTGAAGGTTGTAATATAAGAAAGTTATAAATGAAGAAATTTGGGTTGAATATGTTTAAATATTTAGTTTTATATTGCAGTAATGATTTTAGTCTTGCTCAAATTAAAGAGTGGTTATAATTATGGATTAAATTGAAAGTAATAAGTTGTCCAACTTAGTATTGCTATAAGAATTGTAGTTCGGAGAAAAGAATGTAGTTTGGATATAATTTATTGGTGCATGCAAAGTATATTTTTTAACCATTGTTTGTTGCCAAAGACTCTATTTACACATTTTAAACTGTTTTTTTGTTTTCATAATTAGATATCATTACATAAAATACTATATGTATAAATTTTTTCCTAGAAGTCTACATTTCTAGGAGGGGAGTTAGATTAAAATATCATAAAGATGTGCCAAATCATGTGTAATTAAAAGTAATTTGTTCATCAATATAGAGCGACTTCCATGAATCTAGGAAGTATATATCAGAAACTGATTTTAAATCCAAAATTTAGATAATTACTGTTGTTCATCAGGTTTTTGTTGTTCATCAGGTTTTTTTATGTACAGACACAGATGTGTCTGTACAGATGTGTCTGTACATATAGCTGTCACCTCCATCTGCCGTTGCTGTCATCACTGTCGCCATGCACTTTCAATGATAACATGATAAGTGGAAAAACGTTTTACCTTTTGTCTTTAAAGTTAGGGAACTAATAAATATTAATTGGCATTTATAGTGTGGGATGAACTCCCACGGCCATGAAGCCAAATGGTAATCAAATTTTCTTGTCCATGTTATGTATAGAAAATTGGTGATGATTATGCTGTTAATCATGTAATATTGCATCAAAAATGACAAAAAACCTAGCTACTTTGCGTTCTGCCACCACAAATGTTGTGAAAAGAAAACTGTTACTTTTTTACCTGATTCTTAGGATTGACATTCAGCTCAAACTAGACAACCAGCCCAATTGGATTATCATTTTTTATTGAATTTATGCAATTGTTTTGTGAAATTTTCATTTTTCTCATTCTGGCATTTTCAAAGTGTGCACTTCAACTCCCATGGGCCTGAAGCCTTATGCTTGTTACACATTTTACTTACATTGGTATTACCTGTTGTGCATAATTAAAATTTGATGCTGAATTTGCAGTTAAGCATGATGTATTATTGCATCAGAATCAACAGTAGCTTATTTTGTGTATTATTATTTTCTGCTTTTTGTTTGTATATTTTACAGCTTTGCTGCCTTGTTTTTTATGAAGTTTTGTTTTGTTTTTAGATTTGGTTTTGGATATTTGTTTTTAAGCAAATTGTTCCTTTTTTAAAGACAAGTTCACTCAAATGTAACCATTTTACTCTTAGAGATTTACATTATACATTTTAGAATAGGTTACAACAAGCAGTTGTAGTGCAGTGCACAGACTTTGCTGTTGAGCACAACTTTTTGATACTTTATACTTATGTCTATCAGTTCTTTTCTTAAGATTTGGTGTGCTATTGAGGACATGTTTCCTTTTTAAACTGAACTTTACCTTTTTTACGCCTTAAAGACGTAACATTTTGCATTTTAGAGTAGATTTTGGGTAAAAGAAGTTTTGCACTGCAGTGACTATTTGCCATGTGTCATGTCCAAGTTAAATGAGAATTGGAGGGCGTCATTATTAGACAGTTCCAACATTTACTTGGCGGAGAAAGATTATGTAAATGTGGTAATGAGGTACAAAATCTCACCTTTGTCATATTATTTACAGGAAGTTTACTGTTTTTACAAGGGACCAATGTATAAGATTTCCCTTGGACTTTGTCTTGAGAAATTGCGTACCTGTACTGGGATATAAGGATTAAGAAAATAGAGACTGGTTTGTGGGTTGATCTGGATTGGTGAATATATTTAAACATGCATTTCATTTGTATTAAAAATGTTGATGTTTTGAAATAAAAAAAAGTTGGCATTTCTTCATGAACTTTGAGGGCTCATTTCTATTCCTGACAACTTACTGTATTTATAGCTGTGATCACCTTCAGAACATAAAAACATGTCCACCTATAGTAATGGAATTTATTAATGATCAAAATGTACAACATCTTTTAAATTAATAGAAGGGTGATTCTGATTAACTGATCTATCATTTTACACTCCCATGCAAGATGCACACATGCACACACATTTCCTGAAGTTCAGAATATCTAATTTACAGATTATTGAGAGGGACTGGAGAACGCTTCAAAGAACAACACAGATTTATTTCTCTACTTCATGTTATTGTGCAATAGATATTCAATATCAGTCAAGTTCTAGATTTATTGTGATACCAGTATGTGTGCATATCTCACCATGGTCATGTGCTTGCTCTGCCCCCCCCCCCCTCCCTGTCCCCACTTCTAAAATAGTGGTAAGTACAGAGTTAACCATTCTCTTTTCTCAACAGAAAATCAGCAAGGATTATAAGCCAGAAAAGTGGAATCAAGTATCTTTAAAAATAAATAATTTCTCACCTGAATGATACGCAGTAACTGACAGGACCGTAACTAGGGGGGGGGGGGGGGT